GTAAGTATCATGGGGGCGAGTGAGAGGCAGAAAGGCTTTCTTTTAAAAAACAAAAACCTGCAGGGGGGAGGGCATCTCTGCATGGCTTCCTGAAATTAAAGGGAACTGTTTCAGAGGGAGGAATTAGGCCTGAAGGAAACAAGCCATTTTCCTACCCCCAGCAGTCCAGCCTCTGTGTCTCCGACTCTGTTCAATTTTTCAGATCTGGCAGGATCTTCTGGGGGAGCCACGGGTGTTACGCTTTCCCTTTTAATTGCTCTCAATCCCAAAGGAATTTTGAGGTCTGTGCTTTAAGAAAGCGTTAGCTGCTGTTTTGAAATGTGGACTGAATCGACAAGACCATGCAATGACATTGGTCTTTCCCAACCCTTCTGTGCTGTGAAATTCCTAATTTTTCTGCAAGGTCTTTCAGAAGGAACTGATGTTGCAGGCTGGTTCCTTAAAAGCCAAGATTCCTTCCTAGAGGGGAGGATTGGGCAAAGTCTTGTTTATGAAGTGTGTGCATGAGGACCATGCATGATTACCGAAACCTCTTGCCTTCTTTTGAATGAAAGGTTTTTGTAACAGCTAGCTAGAGTGAGACTCACCATTGGAACATCAGGAATGCACTCCTTTCAGGATGGCAATTTTTCAGGAATACCGAATTTGCTCTGAGAATCTTAGGGGTATAGATTAAGCAATGGAAAGGACAGGGGCCTTGCAGAAGGGTTTACCGAGTCTTCCTACCACACATGGATGGTGATTCATTAAGCAAAAAGAGTATGAGATGGGGCATTGTAAAGAATATATCTTGGAAGGAGAGTTTTAATTCTTAGAATTGCTAGCCATTTGGGTGATGTAAGTAGACTGCCTCTGGGTTTGTTGGAAAGGGTACATCATTGTCAGCAGGTGTGTATTTTCTTGATTTAAAAAAAATGCTGTGTTTTCTTCTCTAAGCTACTGAAGAATTCTCCCAGGTGACTTTTAGTGTGACTAATGTAGCCCTCTGAGGCTCTGTACTGAGAGGGATTGTAGTGTTTACTTCTCTAGCACTGTAAAATTAATTTTCATTTAAAATTTTAATTAATATAAAATGTACCTTCAAGCTTGTATGAATTGATCTACCAATAGCCTGTATTATATAATACAGCATCATTCCACAAATGTTAAAGGACGCCTCATTATAATATCCAGAGGTCAATGTATGTGTCCATAAAAATGTGAAGGTTTGAGTGCAAGTCTATCTAAGAAAACACATCACTTGCACTGAAAAAAAATATTATGTTCAAGAACCAAACTATTATCCCCAAATAAAAGATTATTCACAAATGGAAAGATGGAATTTGGTACTCAGAATGAGAATGCATATTGGAACTGTGTTTTTTTTTTTCTCGGATACATTTTCTTTTCCTTATTTTGTTTTCTTTATTATTATTATTAATTTTTTAAAATTTGCTAAAGGGCACGTTTGCTCACCAAGAGAGAGAGAAAGAGAGAGACAGCAAGCTGCCAGGTCGAGGACTTGATCCATGGTTGGCCATGTGGGAGTCCAGTGCTTTAACCACCATACCATCTGCTGGCCCCAACAATTTCAAATTGTGTCTGATTATGTGAACTTTGCAAAGATTCATTTGTCTATGAAGTCTGCAAAAATCTCACATATATTTAATCTTCTAATATACAGATATGACATTATCACACCAATTTTTTCCTTAATTGAAGAGTAAAAGTGGGACGAGCTGATGGTATAATGGACTCCCACATAGTTGACTCCAGTTCAAGTCCCAGACCTGGCGGCTTAAAACCCACACTGGGCTTGTGTGCATGCATGCCCAAGATCCCGAGAGGAAAATGAAAAAGAAGGGTTTGCAGTGTGGTGATTTCTCACTTTTTATCTCTCTCTCTTTCTCTCTCTGTCTCTCCGGCGAGTGCACACACCATATAGCAAAAATCTCTCTCTAAAAAAAATAAATAAATAAGTAAAAATAAGTTTTTTTACCTTTTAATTTAAAAAATAATTTAGTTTTTATATGACTATAATATAATGTACAAATTCTACTATACAATATAGATGGTAAATAAAGTTCAGAGAGAAGCATGAGAATAAAAATGTCATTATCCCTATTCCCAAATTCCATCCTATTGCCAGAGTTATTTCTTGATTATTCAGGCTTTTTTTTTTTTTAGACATAAATACATATAATACCTATTAGAGAGGCCATATTGTGTACTGATTAAGAACATTGGCTTTTGGACCAGCAAGTCGTATAGTGATTAAGGTTCTGGACTCCCACATGGCTGACCATGGTTCAAGTCCTGGACCTTGCAGCTTCTTTTCCCACTTTCCTTTCTCTCTCTTTGATCAAATTAAGTAATAATAATAATTAATAAAATTAAATAAATATATATTTTTTAAAGAACACTGGCTCTTGAGTCAGACAGATTTGATTCAAATCCTGGCTGTCACTGCCCGACTATGTGACTTTAAGCAAGTCATTTTATTTTTTTGTGACTAAGTTTCCCTAAGCTCTATATAAAATGAGTATCAAAAGAGTAGTTGATTTCTAGCATTATTATGAAGAACAAATGAAATTATGTGTGCTTAATGCTTGGCAGACACAAAGCACTCCACATACAAAGCTATTATTATTATTATCATGCCTGAAAAATCATTTATAAAACCAAAATATGTAGGTTTACTATGTCAGACTCCCCAAAACTGTAATCTGAAAACCCCAGCCTTATACTGAGTGAAGTCAAATCAGCCCTGAAATGTGTTGACCTAAACTTAATTTATAAAGGAAGCTAAAAACAATGGCGTGAATCTGATAGGGTACAAATCACGACTTAGATGTTTTTTTAAATCACACAAGCATATATTGTATACAGATTGCAGGAGGCAGATTTTCTGAGAGCAATATAGTTTAAAAATGTTTTTAAAGAGGTTTTTGCCTTAGGGCATGTGTGCTCACTGGAGAGAGACAGAGACAGAGACAGTGAGAGAAAAAGTGAGAACATCCCCCCTCCCACCAGGCAGAATGACCACACCGCAATCTCTTCTCCTCCATTCTCCTCCCAGGATCTTGGGCATGCATGCTCTTGTGCCTGGCATGATTTTCAAATCACTGAGTCCAGGACTTGAACCATGGTTGGCCATGTGAGAATCCAGCTACATAACTGCTACACAGTCTTCTGGCCCCCTAAAAAAAGATTTTTTTTTTTTTGAAGCGCCTTGTAGGAGGTTGGCAAGAGTAGACTTTGGAACAGGCTCAGTCCTGTGAGAGGCCAAGTGTTAGTAGATTATAAGCCACTAAGTAGTTTACAGGGTCGGGGGAGGGGGAAGGGGATGAGGGTAGCACCTAAGAAAACAGTCTGCTCACTCGGGAGTGGTTCATTCGAGACCACGAACAACCTTTGTCTTTCTCCTGCTGTCCGCCTGGACAGAATCAAGTACAGGAGATTCAGGAGGCTGAGATTTTTGCACCCACTTCTGCCTGATTGTGGGACCTTGTGCACTTTGGGCTATTTTAGGTCTCACTTCTAGGAGGGTTTCTTTTTTTTTTTTTTTTCCGGAGAGGTTTTTGCCATAGGGCGTGTGCACTCACCAGAAAGACAGAGAGAGAGAGACAGAAAGCGAGAAATCACCCCCCAGGGGGATGGCCACACCGCAATCCCTTCTCCTCCATTCTCCTCGCAGGATCTTAGGCACACGTGCTCATGCACCTGGCGTGAGTTTAAGCCACCCGATCCGGGACTCGAACTGCGGTCAACTACATGGGAGTCCAGCGACATAGCCATTATGCTAACTGCTGGTCCCAGTATCTTTTAATTTTTATTTTAAAACAAAATTTTAAAAAGATTTATTTATTTAATTCACTCATTTATTTTAATTTGGACAGAGAGAGAGAAAAAAAATGAGAAAGCAAGCCACTAGGTCTGGGACTTAAACCATGGTCAGCCATGTGGGAGTATCTAGTGCCTTAACCACCACACCACCTGCTGGTCCCCTGATGTAGGTATTTTTGACAATATCTCACTGTGTCCCAATTCTCCTGCCCCAACCCCCTAAATAGCTAGCATCACAGGCATGCACAAGAATGCCTGGCCTGTTCAGATTTGCCTAGAACTAAACCCGGGCCTCTCATGAGGCTTCCAGTCTCCAAAGTGGTAATACCACTTGGCTGGGCCTGGTATCATCATCATCATCATTTTTTTTTAGAGAGTTTTTTTTTTCTATAGGGTGCGTGCACTCGCCAGAAAGACAGGGAGATAGAAAACGAGAAATCACCCCCACCAGGGGGATGGGCACACTGCAATCCCTTCTCCTCTCTCCTCTCAGAATCTTGGGCATGCACACAGACGCGCCTGGCATGAGTTTAAGCCACCAAGTCTGAGACTTGAACTGCGGTCAACTACATGGGAGTCCAGCACCATAGCCGTTACACTAGCTGCTGGTCTGGGGGCCTGGTATAATTATTAATAGTATCCCTTTCACTCTTTAATCCAGGGTTTCTCAACCTTGATACTATTCACATTTTAGACCAGATAATACTTACCTGGGGAAAGGGCTGTCCTATGGTTAGCTTATTTCTTAGTGTCTGCCTTCTCTAACATTTAGGATGTTTAGCAGCATCTGAGGCCTCCTCTACCCAGCAGATGTCGTTCCTAACCACCACACCCGCCCCGCCCCGAGTCATGACAACAGAGACTCTCTCCAGACATTGCCCTATCTCCTAGGGGGCTAAATGACCCCTGGGTGAGAATCAAGGCTCTAAATGTACTTTATATAATAAATCAGTCACTCTATTTCTCTTCTTTTTTTTTTTTTTTTTTTTTTTTCCCCTTGTTTTTTTTTTTTTTTTTTTTTTTTTTTTTTTTTTTTTTTTTTTGAGAGAGAGGTTTTTTACTGTAGGGCATGTGTACTTGCCAGAGAGACAGACAAGTGAGAAATCCCCCCCAAACAGGAATGGACACACCACAATCCCTTCTCCTCCGGTTTCTTCTCAGGATTTTGGGCATGCACGTACACGCATCTGGTGTGAGTTGCAGCATAACCATTACATCGTCTGCTGGTCCCTCGGTCACTCTCTTTCTGGAGCATCTTCGGATCTCTCTAAAGCTCACTCCTCAGGCCAGGTACAGTTCTGTACCGGGAACATTATCTAATTCCTAGAGACAGCAACAGCTCACTTGCCAGCGTGAGTTACATATGCAAACCAGCCAAACCAGAACCCACACTCCCAACCAGCCCTTCATCAGGTTCTCAGGCTTCTCAAACTCTGGGCCACATCCACTTGGCCTCATCGCCCCTGACCTGGGTCCTAGACAGGCAGAGACAGCCCTAAATCCCAGAGTCAGATTAAATGATTCTAACTAGCCAGCCCCAAGCCTCCTTACTCTGCCTCACCTGAGCTTTTCTGTGGAAACCACAGTGAAAGCTCTTGCCCGTGTTTGCCTTCCTCGCTCTGCTTCCTGGTCCTTGGTGCTTCCAGGGGTGGCCCCTTGCAATGTGCTGTGGCCCTTCTTCTTGAGACCTGTACACGCAGCTGAGTGTATCTTTCCAGTGGCATTCATATTCTGATTTCTTGGGCTTGCTGTACCTAGGTAATAATAATTATAAATAAATAAATAAATACACACACACACACACACACACACACACACACACACACACACACAGGTGTTTTTTTGTTTTTGTTTTTGTTTTTTTCTTGCCAGAGGGTGCTTGTACTTGCTGGAGAGAGACAGAAAAAAAGAGAGTTTTGGGGGGATTTTAGGTGCATACACATGTGCACAGTGTGTTTTTCTTTTTTTTTTTAAAGAATATTTTATTTATTATTATTATTTTTTCTTTAATTTGACCAGAGAGAGAGAAAAAGAGGGAAAGTGAGAAAGACAAGCCACCAGTCCAGGACTCGAGTCACAGTCAGCTATGTGGGAGTCCAGCACCCTAACCATCATGCCACCTGCTGGCCCCCACAATGTGTTTTTCAAGCTGCTGGGTCTGAGACTAGAACTGTGCAATCGGTCATGTGGAATCCATCTGCCTTAACCACCAGGCTAACGGCTAGCCAGAAAACCTTTATTTTGAAAACTCCGTCATCTGTTTCTCCTCTTGTGGGGTAATGGGTCTGAGAGACTTCTCAAAACTCAACTCTGATCACCTTCCATCTTCTTGCTGCTACTTGAAACCCTTCAAAGGCATCCCATTGGTCTCAGGATAACACAGCGAAGCCCCGCTGTGGTCCGCTCTGCTCCATCCGGCCTGCCATCTGACCTGTGCTCCGGATCGCACCTGCTGGCTGCTGCACCAGCTGCTGCCTTACTCTTCCTCTGCCTGTATATGACCGTCCCTGTTCCTGACTCAGCCTCCGTGTGGAGTCTTCTCTGACCCCTGCCCTCTCTAGTACTTTCTTCTTTTTTTTTTTTTTAAGAATTTTAAAATTTAATTTTATTCGTCATATGTGTGTGTGTGTGTGTGTGTGTGTGTGTGTGTGTGTATACTTTTTTTTTTGACCAGAGAGAGAGGAGGGGAAAGTGAGAAAGCAATTCACCAGGTTCAGGACTTGAACCACTGTTGGTCATGTGGGAGTCCAGAACCTTAACCACCATGCCACCTGCCAGCCCCCCTCCAAAAGTGTTGTTGTTGTTTTTATCTTGTCATCCTATTTGTTTCCTTCTCAAGACCCATTCATTTACAAATGTACAATGATGCGTATTTCTCTCAAAACCGTCCACTTGCCATCCATTCCAGGGGAGCAGGGACCATGCCAGCTCTGTCCCCCTTTTATCTCAGCACTCAGCGCATAGTCAGCCCTCAGGAAGCACTTGTAGAAATCCAGGAGGATAGAGCCAGGCTCTCCAGCTGCTCCCAAGGCAGTCACTCCTTTTCTCTTTGTGACACTGTGTAAGGCGTGACCTGCCCAGGGCCACAGAGCTACTGACTGGTGTGGGTCAAGGGATTCAAACCCAAGCCAGTCTGTTTGCTAGAGCTGGGCTCTCTTCTCTCCCATGGGAGACCACTTCTCTCAGTGCCACCCTGCTTCATCACAGGTTGGTTTAAGCCTCTTTCTTAGTCTGATAGATTCAAAACTCAACAGCTAAAAGTCCAGAAGCTCACATGAAAGAAGAGACAACTTCTTTATCTAAAACACCCTAATCAAATCACAGGACCTAATTTAAGGTACTGAAGTAAATGATCTGAGGTTTCAAACAAGGTCTTTAACTTGACAGCTATTTCCTCAAGTTTTTCTCTTCCTTAAATAGCCAAATTATGTAAAATAAATGTTCCATGCTATTTTGGAAAATTATATGAGATATATATATGTGTCTAAAACAAATGCCAAGAAATTGGGAGCCAGCCTGTTTTGAAGTCCTCCTCTATTTAACATATGCCACTGCTATTTTCTTTCTTTCATATTACATTTTTTTCCCTTAGGAAATCTTGGCTCGTGTAGTTGATAAATACTTTTAGGAACCCAACTAATTCAAAATGTAGTCTTGCTTCCTGAGTATAATTTAATATCGAAGGCTTCTCTTATCTTTGTTTTAAAACCAACTTTAATAAAGAAAGGTGTCCTGGCTTCCAGTGGTTTGCCAGAGAAGAAATGTGGATGGACCCTGGTTTAAAACTGCAGCGAGGTTGGTAGCAGTAGCTCAGAGGTTAAGGCAGCTGGATCCCACTGCCCAACTACGTGGTTCGAGTGTAAGACCCAGCAGCTTAGAAAGCGCACCAGGAACACGTGCACGTGTGCCCAAAACACCAAGAGGAGAATAGAGGAGAAGGGATTGTGGCGTGGCCATCCCCCCAGGGGGTGATTTCTCGGTTTCTGTCTCTGTTTCCCTCTGGTAAGTGCATGTGCCCTATAGCAAAATTAAATTAAATTAAATTAAATTAAAATAAAAAAACTGTCTAAATAATAATAATAACTCATTGTATGGGTATACCACATTGTGTTCATCCATCCATCCTCCAGTGGACCCTTGGGTCAGTCCCACTCTGGACTATTGTTGTGCAGATCAACTTAAACTTAAAAAATATATATTTAGTTGAAAGGATGTGGGCACCTAGGCGCACGCACTCACACCCTGTGTGTTTTTCCATCAGGGCTGGGATTTGCGCTACCATCTGCCATGTGGGATCCCTTAACCACTAGGCTACAGGGCTGGCCCTCACATCTTAAATTCAGTGGCATCTAGAAGGTTCATGATGCTGTCAACCACCACCTGTATCTAGTTCCAGAGGGTTTTCATCATCCCAGAGGGAGCCCCTTGCCCCTCCCCACCCCTCGGCAATCCCACCAGGCCCAGACGCCCATCTGCTCTGTGTCTGATGAGTTCTCTTCTCTAGATGTCTCACATCATACATGTGTCATCTTCTGCATCTGACTTCTTTCACTCGGCACCGTGTTTTCCAGGTTCATCTGTGTTATAGCATGCGTCAGCAGCCTGAGGACTTGGCCTTTTTTACTTTTTTTTTTTTTAAAGATTTTTTCAAATTTTAAATTCATTTATTTATTTTAGCTTATTTTTACATTTTCCTACAAACATTTACTTTACATATCAAAAAATTTTAACTCTTACTCCATAGTCCTTGAAAGTTAATACGCAACTTTCAAAATTTCAAAATACTGAATTTTAAATATAATGTTCAAAATATTTGTTAGAATTTGGTGTAATTTTGTTTATGACTGTAACAACAGAAACAGTATGGTTTTAAATATCTTTGAGAAAAATATTTACATGTCAGCTACTCAAATGGTGGTTTTAAAATTTTTAGTTTTGGTATAGCATGGCTTGCAGGAGAGAGTCAAAGCAAGGGAAAGTGAGAAATCACCCCCAAGGGGATGGTCATGCCACAGTCCCTCCTCCTCCATTCTCCTCTCTGGATTTGGGCACACACAGATAATACCTGGCGTGATTTTCAAGCTGCTGGGTCTGAGACTTGAACCACAGAGTCATCTATGTGGGATCCAGCTGCCTTACCCTCCATACCACCTGCTGGCCCAGACTTTTTTTAAATATATTTATTTATTTCATGAATATGAGAGAGATAGAGAGAGAAACGGCTCCATGACAGAGATGACAGAGGTCTGACGGTGCCCAGTTTACTGAGGAAGTCCTGGCCTCAAACCTACAACCTTTCCATGTGAGTCTGCCTCACAGAGAACCACACTTCAGTGCTACGCTACCATCCAGCCCTGGAGGGCTTTTTTTTTCTTTCTTTCTTTATTTGTGTAGGGATATGCTAGGGCCTGCTCATACCAGCTCTAGAGGGCCGATCAGTGGATTTTTAAATGTTCAAGAACTTTCTAGGCCTGTTATTCAACCACCAGTTGCTTGAAATTGACCATGATGGGAGTCTTTGCTCCATACATAGTGGCAAATGCAACCAGTCAACATTCCTGGGGACTTGAGACCAGACAGTGGCACAGTGATCATGCAGCTAGGATCACATGGTGAAGGTTCTGGGTTTACATCCCAGGACCTCCCTGAGCATGCTGGGTATATGTGAGTGCCTGTGATCCGGGCTGGATGAAATGGGGAGTGGATTGCAGTGTGAAGATCCTGCCGGTGGTACCTGCCTCCTACCTCCCGCCAGCCCCAGTCTCGCTCTCTTTCTCATGGAAGGGATAAATAAGTGAAAGATATATTAATATCTGGGGAGGTATTGGGAGCCAGGTTACACTGGTTTAGAATGCCTCATCTCTATCAGTCCTCCCCAAAAGCTACCCAAAGAAGTACATACTCTGAATAAAATAGTGTTCTTGCTTGGCCCGGGCTGCTTAGGAGGTGCCTGAGTCCCACCTTCCTGCCAGATGTCCAGGCCTGAGGCCGTCTGTCTCCAAGTCCTGGCTCCTAAGTGACACCTGCCTTCCAGCTGTACTGGATGCCCCAGCTTCAGACTGCAGGGACGTATGTCTGAGTCCTGTATCATAGGCCTCTCAGGTGAGCTGCAGGCATCCCGCTCAGCAAGCAGAAAGTGAGGGGGCCTCAGGGCTCCGCCCCTGAGAGTTATTGTGTGCTGTGAAGAAGCCTGGGCAGCTAGCGAGCTCAGAATTGCTCCTGGCATCTTCTGATCAGCAACGTCAGGACCACCTGGGGACATATGAGAAACTCAGATTCTCAGTCCTCAGCCAAGACCTTCTGAGTCAGACCTGGGGACAGAGCTCAGTCATCTGTGTTGTAACCAGCCCTGCAGGGGTTCTGGGCTCCATCCAGCTCACAAACCCCTGAACTGAAGTGACCAGAGAGCTATCAGCCAGCTGGAATCGAGCTGTGCCTTTTTTTTTTTTTTTTAAGCTTATCTATTTCTTTCCAAGTGAGAGAGACAGTGAGAAGGAGAAAGCACACTCCCCCCCCCCCTCCCCAACAGGGTCCTGACACCGTAATCTGCCCCAGACTCAGCCACCCAGGGTTGCAGGCACACACTTGCCTGGCCTGTGCAGGGAGGTCTCTGGGTATGAACCAGGACCCTCCCCATGTGGTTAGCTTTGCAGAACATTGCATCTTACCTCGGCACCACCGTCTGGTCCCTGGGCTGTCAGGCCTTTTGATTCTGCTCCAGAACACCTTGTTCCACTGTCTGGCAAGCCCGCCTTTGCAGGCCAGCTTAGTTCAGGCCTCTCATTCATTCCTCAGACATGTGAATGCTTGCGAGAAGCACTGGCCCGACACCTAGTGACTAAGACCTATGCCTCTGATACTAAAGATACCGAGACTGAATGAAGGCTCAGCTCCAGTCAAGCTGTGTGACCTAGAGGAAGTGCCTTAACTTTTCTGAGTGTTTTCTCATCTATAAAATGGGTATAGTAACAGTCTCTAATTCATAAGTCAATTTTCAGGGTAACAGGAGATGATAGAAAGGTCTCAGTATAGCTCTTGGTGTATAGCAAGTGTTAATAAATACTGGGTCATGAGAAAAGTCCTGACACACTTTTCCATAGAAAAATATGAAAAAGGAGGTCATGACTTTTACGACAACCCAATAGTTGTAAGGTTTGAGGGCTATCATCTAAGAAGTTTGTGGAGGGAAATTCAGTGGTCATCCCTCACATTTATTTTTAAAAAACACAAGTGATAAAAGATCCTGAGAGCTGAAGATAATTTGGAGAGGAGAATGATGGACTATGGAATGTCTGTTTCATCTAAAAGGGGCAGCACTGTTCAGACCAGCCACCATTCCCACGTGGGAGTGTGAGCCCCAGACAGCCAGACTACTACTTTTTCAAGAAACATTGGCAATCTAGCTTTTTTTTGAGAGATTTTTGCTACAGGGCACATGCACTCGACAGAGAGAGACAGACAGAAAGCAAGAAATCACCCCCCTGGGGGAATGGCCACGGTGCAATCCCTTCTCCTCCATTCTCCTCTCGGGATCTTGGGCATGCATGCACATGCACCCAGCATGAGTTTAAGCCAGCAGATCCGGGACTCGAACTGCAGTCGACTTCATGGGAGTCCAGTGATGTTACCATTATGCCATCTGCTGGTCCCGGGAATCTAGATTTTTATGTGAATTCTCCCGATTTCAAAATTTGGACATTTACTTAAAATTTTAAAAAAGAAAAATTAAAAAAAAGTACTGTTTGGCCAGTATGTGGTATGGAGGTTAAGGTGACTGGATCCCACATGGCTGGCTGTGCAGTTTGGATCCTGGCCTGGAAGCCTATAAAATATGCCAGGAATGTGTGCGTGTGTGCCCAAATTCCAACAAGAGAATGGAGGAGGGATTGCAGCATGGCCACCACCCTCCAGGAGTGATTTCTCACTCTCACTCTGTCTCTCTCCCGTGAGCACATATCTCCTTTAGCAAAATTAACAAATTAAATAAATAAACAAACAAATAAATAAACAAATAAAATACTGCTCGAGCCCAGCTTTTGTGAGCCTAATGTAACCTTTAATGATTGAATTGTTATTTCTGTTAGATATAAATGAGTCTAAATTTTGAAACAAATGTACTTCCAAGCAGTAGTGGGGTCTAGAATAAAGATATCTTTGTTCACATAGCCTGCCCGGTGAATCAAGCTCCTGGAATTGTGTGGTGCCTGACCTGCCCCACGGTAGGTGGCAACCCTGATGTTCTAACACTTTTATTTGTTACCACCACCATCACCCCTACCACGTCAACTCAGAAGGAATGCCTGCCTCCACCCATGCAAGTCTCCAACCCATGAGAAGACGTTCACCTGTCCTGGGACCGAGAGCTGGGCAGTATGGCTATCGTGGGGGAGTTCTAGCCATTGTGACCAGTTCTGCTCTATTCTCTAGGGTGGTGAAATTCCGTCGCACGGGCGAGAGTGCAAGGTCAGAGGACGACACCGCTTCAGGAGAGCATGAGGTCCAGATCGAAGGGGTCCGTACTGGCCTAGAGGCTGTTGAGCTGGACGATGGAGCAGCTGTGCCCAAGGAGTTTGCCAATCCCACTGATGGTGAGGGGGCCAGGTGGTTGGGACATCAGCCTGGGACACTGTGAGGGGCTCTGAGGCACCAGGCGGTGGTCTCAGAAGGGCCTCATGAAGGGGCAGTTGAGAGCCCAGTGGGTGCAGGGGTGATGCTGAAAGAGTTGGCTGAACTTACTTGATTTACTTCAGCAGGCAGGGTTACATCACAATCCCTACCAGACAGCATGACTTGGCCGAGAATGATAACAATGATGATGAGAAAAATGATGATAAGGGTCTGCAGGTAGAGGGAGTGGTGGTTAAGGTGCTAGATTCTACATGCCTGACTCGGCACTTCAAGTCCTAGATTGGTGGTTTGAAAAATATGCCAGGCACGTGTGTGTGTGTGTGTGTGTATGCCCGTGCATGCCCCCAAGCCCCAGGGTAGAGACCGAAGGAGAAGGGACTGTAGAGTGGTTATCCCCCGGGGGACCATTTCTCACTTTCTCTGTCTTTCTCTCTCTCTCAATCTGGCGAGTGCACAGACCCTATGGCAAATATCTAAAACATTAATATGTAAATAAATGAAGATGATGTTATGGTGGTGATGGAGGGGGGTGGAGGGGGGGTGGTGATGATGGTAATGATAATGATGGTGATGATGGTGTTGATAGTGATGATAATAGTAATGATGGTGGGATGGAGGGATGATGATGTTGATGGTGGTACTGGTGATGATGATGGTGATGATAATGGTGATGGTGTTGATGATGATGAAAATGATGGTGGTGATGATAATGGTGGGGATGATGATGTTGACAGCGATGATGTTGGTAATGATAATGATGGAGATGATGGTGTTGATAGTGATGATAACGGTGGTGGTGATGATGATAATGGTGATGATGGCAGTGGGGATGATGATGTTGATGGTGGTGATGATGGTAATGATAATGATGATGATGATGAAAATGATGGTGGTGCTGATGACGATGGTGACCATAGCAATGGGGATGATGATGTTGATGGTGATAATGATAGTGATGGTAACAATGCTATGGTACTTGTGATCATGTGATGATGGTGATGATGGTAAGGATGATGATTATAATGGCGATTGTGGTGATGATGAAGATGGTGTGGTGATGGAAGATAGTATAATGATGGCAATGGTGATGATGTCAGTTCTGATGATAGCGGTGATGATAATAGTGATTACGATGATGATATATGGGAACAGCTGTCATTGGCTAAGGAATCACTGTGGCATGCACTATTCTAAGCACTCTATACGTAGTACTTCACAACAGTTCCAATCGGAACTATTATCACCATCTTTCCCATTTTGCAGATGAGGTTAAGGATCTGCCCAGGCAGTCTGGTCTCAGAAGTCACATTCTTGCCCATGATCTGGTGCTGACTCTGAGCAGAGCTGCTCAAATATGGGAGCTGAGGCAGTATCTGGTGTGGATCAGACCACCTGATGTTGATGGGTGAGAATATCCAATGCATTCCTGAAATGCCCCAGATTCCCAATATAAGGAAGGATTAGTGACTATAACCCAGGGCCTGTTGGCAGGTCTAAGGAGGCAATGCCTGGGAAGGAAGGGGAGGAAGTGGTTAGGAGCAGAATCTTGACTTCCGGGCTCAACTCTACAGTGTGCCACTATGTAACACAGGGCAAGTCTGCATTCTCCTCTGTATAGAACAGTCCCAGTACTCGGCTCATAGGGTCGTGATGGGGACTAAATAAATAATGTCCGTCAAGCTTTCAGTACAGTGCCTGGCACATCATGACTGCGAGGTAAATCCATCATATTATTATTATTACTATTCTCGCTATTAATGATGTTGTGGGTCCCACTCTGCTTTCTCCTCAATACTTTTTTGCTAGAGGAAACTAAAACTTGCTAGTGTGATAAACACCAGCTCATACTTCTAGGAGAAATTATGATTATTGTTATTGAGGCCCATGGTTAAAGTTCCCAAAAGATGGTGACTCTTAGCAAGGGCATGACATCCTCAAAGGCCATTTATGAAAGGGTCACCCAGCATCCTCTTTTAGTATATTTATTTATTATTTAGATTTTTTCCACAGGGTGTGTGTGCTCTCTGGGAAGAGGGAGAAAGAGACAGAAAAAGTGAGAAATCGCCCTCCATGGGGGATGACCATGGTTCAATCCCTTCTCCTCCATTCTCCTCTTGGGATTTTTGGGAATGCATGCACTTATGTCTGGCATGAGTTTCAAGCCACCAGGTCCGGGACTCCAAGTCCAGAGTCAACCATGTGGGATCCAGCACCTTAACCACCATGCCACCTGCTGTCGCAGTGTTTTTATTTTTTAATTAATTTTTCATTTTAAAATCATTTTAGGCTTACAGAAAAATTGCACAGATAGTACAGAAAGTTCCCACAGACCCTTCACCCACTTTCCCTAGTATTATTATCTTACCTAGCCTTGGTACATTTGTCAAAACTAAGACATTCGCATTGGTTCACAGTGTCAACTAACCTCCAGACTTTATTCAGATCTCACGTGTTTTTCCAGTGAGGTTGTTCCAGGGTACAATCCAGCATGCCACAAGGTGTTTAGTCTTTTAGAATTTTTCAGAATACTTATTCATTTATAAATGA